CTTTTACATCCTTAAGTCTTACATGTTTGTACTTTCCTGAGCCACTGTGCACACAATGCTCTCGCTTCATGTTCTATTCTTCTTTTCTTTTTCTCTTTCACTTAGTTTCTAGTTATCCCTCATGTATCAACTTGAACATCACTTCCAATACAAAGCAATCACTAGATACACTGGCCAAATTATAAGTCCTATAAGTGGACTTTAACATCCTGCACTCTCCCTATCATACCTGGTATCAGATTTTATTATAATGACTTTCCTGACAGAACGTAAGCTCTGTAATAGCAGGGATCATGTGTAACATTCACTGTCAACTGCAAATACAGCATTGTGCCGGGCGCTTAGCAGACATTCAGTATTTGATAAGTGGGTGAATGAATAAATGAATGAATGAGGACTATATTCTCACTACGAAGCAAGTGAAGAACACATGAGCCAGCATATTTTTGTACTTGTAGAAGCTGTTCCTCAAGAGTAAACTCACCAGCATTTGGTGTCCACGTCCTTTTGCATAGAGGGATCGCAAGGTGGGCGAAGAGCCCATGCCCCTGAGAACACTGCCTCCTCCTGAAAGGCAAATAAAAAGGAAGCAAAGGATGACCACTGTGTCCTTCACAGCCCAGATTCAGATTGTATTGGAACTTCTTCTTCAAAGTCTACTTAGTCTACCAGATGGGCCTCTCTGCAGAAAACAACTATAAAACCCAGATATCATACAAAAAGCAACTATCTGAAGATACTAGAGAATGAGCAGAACAGAGACTGGTGGAAAGTACATACTCTCTTGGGGTGGGGAAGATGGTTTGCTCCACAAGCATGTTCCCACCTTTTCTGGCCTTTAACCAGGGACTGAGTGCAGGATCATGGTGTACCCAGTGGTAAGAAGGCCTCACGTGGGGAAACTGGTACTCTTTCTGGTGTGGGGCCCAGCAAGGTGAAGGCAGACAATGTCAAACATTGAGTAAATCCTGGGAGTTCTGATGTGATAAAAATCACAGAGGGATCCCCTAAGTCTTCTATCTGTATCTCCAAATGCCCTTGAACATGCTCAAAACAGAACAGACTCAAAGCAGCTGAACTAAAGACAAAAGATCTGAATCAAGACCAGATCTGGTACCCAATGCAGCAGAGCCTATAGTTCAGTGGTTCTCAACCTTCTGGCCCTTTAAATACAGTTCCTCATGTTGTGACCCAACCATAAAATTATTTTTTCATTGCTACTTCATAACTGTAATGTTGCTACTGTTATGAATCGTAATGTAAATATCTGATATGCAGGATGGTCTTAGGCGACCCCTGTGAAAGGGTCGTTCAACGGCCAAAGGGGCCACGACCCACAGGTTGAGAACCGCTGTTATAGTTCAAATCTAGCCAAACCAATTACCTGCTGAGAAAGAAAATAACACAGAAAAAAAATAACAGAATCAAAAATCTCTACAACTTAACATTTATAATATTATATTATCTTGACTATAATCCAGAATTATCCAACATAAGGAAATCCAAGAAAATTGAATGTATTGTCAGGGTAGAAGAAAATCAATCAACATTGATCCAGAGATAAATGAATACTGTATCTAAAACACAATGATTTTAAAATAATTAAATTTGTATAATTATCACTAGTAAGTAAAAAAAAAAACTTTTTGGTCAATGAAAATATCAGCAAAGAAATAGGAAATTGTCCAGGCAAAGAAGAGAGAGATGAAAGATTGAGAAAAAACAAAAACAGAGTCTCAGGAACTGATTAGATGATATCAAATAGTCTAAAATACATGTCATTGAAGTACCAGAAGGAGAACAGAGAAAGAACAGGGCAGAAAAATATTTGGAAACAAAAATAACAGTTAAAAATTTCCCAATTTAATGAGATATAAAAATTTTCAAAGAAGATATTAAATAAACATAAGCAGAATGAGCACAAAGAACATGTGATGAAGCTCATCATAGTCAAAATTATGAAAGCCAAAGACAGGAAGCAACTATTGAAAACAATAAGAAAAATATATAAATATATTACATACAGGGACCACTGATCCAATGAATGGCTGATTTCTCATCGGAAACCCGAAGAGTGAGAAAAATCTCTTTATAGTGCTGGAAATTATATTTTTTAAAATGTCAAACTAGGGTTTCAGAATATATTTTTCCTAGAGAGTCAGGATATGTTCCTTCAAGAATGAAGGCAAATTAAAGATATTTTCAGATGATACTCATTCAGACAACCCATTGCCAGTATAATGGCATGATAAGAAATGCTAAAGGAAACTCTTCAAGATATAGGAAAATGATATTGGATGGATATTTGAATCCTCTTAACATAATAAAAAGCAAGAATTGAATTCTGCCAGCAACACGAATAAACAAGGAAGTGCATCTCCTAGCATCCCTTTGATTTCTGGATACAGACTGAAATAATACATGAGTGTTGTTTCAGACTGCCAGTTTATGGTAATTTGTTACGGCAACAATAGAAAACTAATAGAGGGACTCTTGGATAACTATTAACCTCTCCTATTTTTTGAATGAAAAAATTCTGCAGTGAAATTGACACCACTTTTCAAAGGGTCCCTGGCAGAACCGAGCCCCTGTTTCCTACCACAGTAACCAGCCATGTGATGCTACTTGAGATAGGCTTTCCCTCCTTTCCTGATTCTCCTTCCCTGTCCCCCAACTCTGGGTGTCTGGGATCACATTCTAAAGTAATCTACCTGCAAACTAGACTTCAGCTCAGGTTGTACTTTATGGGGGACCCTCAGGTTCGGATTCGTGGTTGTCAGCATTTTGGAAAACCCTAACTTAACTCTGGTGCCGTGTCACATATAGAAATTTTTTGATATTTGCAACCATAGTAAAACAAAGACTTATATTTTTGATATTTATTTTATATATTTAAATGCCATTTAACAAAGAAAAATCAACCAAAAAAATGAGTTCGCGTGTCACCTCTGACACGCATGTCATAGGTTCGCCATCACTGCTCTAACCCATGGTAGTTTGGGACAACTTACAGGTGAAAATGAAGCACTGGCTTATGAGGTAGGGATACTACTTGAATGCATTGGGGTCAAAGAAAATTATATGCTGTACAGGATTGGCTCCCTTTGGCTAATTGCTTTTAGAATCTTTTAAAAAGGCAAAAGATAGATTTGGGTTATTCAACTCAATTCGAGGCATACTGTGAGAGTCAGAAAGCCTCATTGGCAGCATGTAAGACTGTCTGTACGTCCAAGAGTGGTGAAAATCAGACTCCGGCTTCAGTGGTCCTGATAGCACACCTACAAGGAGACTGAACCCACTGCCTCAGCTGGACTCCTTCAAAACCAGGGTCCTATCGAGAAAGAGTGGGACACTAATACATGGGACTCCCAGGCCAGTAGCAGATCCTCCTTCTTGACCTAGAACAAGCTTCCCCAGGCTGGACACCGTGCGGACCTCACCTGAGGCCAGTGCCTCACATGATGATGTCTTTTCCATCTGCATTTGCAGAACAGCTGGCTCTAACATGAGTTTACCTCTCAGTTTTTGAAAACTGCGGCAGCAGCTAGTACAGTTCAACATTCAGAATTTGTATGAACCTAAGAACATAGACCTTAGAAAAAGAGTTTTGTTTCATGGAGAGAAATGTGCAGGGAGAAATAGAAAAGAAAGAAATACATATATTAAAAAATCTAGGTACTAGAATAATAATTTAAAATCAATTATGTATAATTTAAAAGCAATTATGTAAAACAATGTTATTTCTTCATAAACATCAGTGTTTAGTTCTTACAAGTATTTCTTTAGTCTAAAAATGCTATTTGATTTTTGTGAGTACTTTCTATATGAGAACGATATTGGAATAGTGAACGTGAGGCAAAAAACAAAACAACAGGAAATCAGTTTGGGTTTGTTTACATTGCTAAAGTAGGTTAAGGTGAGGGGAGAATTTTTTTTTTTATTGAGAGAAGATATTAGTTTAATAGGTAGTATTCCAAATGTTTGTGGTCGATTCAGGCTCTAGGTATTTTAAACAAAGGCTTGAACTCACTCCTTTGGAGATAAGTATGCTAGTCACTACCAGATATAGTAATATTGTGGAGTTGGCACAGAGTTGTTGCTCCAGGCATCAAATAGTGATTTAGTTTCACTCAGAGACCTGGCCCCTAAGTCAATTGAACAAATGTAGCAACTAAACCTTGGTAATTCTCATGTCAACAACAGTAACGAGTAGGTGTTACTGAATGCAGTATGGAAATATGTAAATAAATAGGTAATATGTCCATGTGTGAGAAATATGGTATAAAGAAATGAAAGACTGTGGAGCCAGAGAAAATTAGGTTCAAGTTCTAGCCTTCATTTACAAGTTATATGAACTTTGGTGAGTCACTTTTTCTGAACTCAAGCTTTCTATGCTAAAGCATTGACATAAAAATGCATAACTCAGAAGGTTAAACTATATAGCACACATACAAAGAGCTAATATATATTAAATAATAAAAAGCTAAACTACTGCCAACTCAGAAAACATTTCACAAAAATATAATAGAAAGTTGTATTACTATCCTGGCCAGGTCGTTCAGTCTCTCTCTCTCTCTCTCTCTCTCTCTCTCAAAAATAATTAAAAGACACGTTATTACTGAAAAAAACATTAAGCCAGAATATGATGTTCATCAATCTGTCCGTATGCCAAGAGATTGCAAAGACAGAAAGAAATCTTACCCTTTTATATAGCCAAGCAGATATAACCTATTACACATGTTCTCAAGATGAACAATCACCAGCCCTCAAGTAAGAGGACTGGACAGCGCCAGTTGTCATGCACAGTTCATCTTAATGCACCTGTCAATAGGGGTGGTCATCTATGTTTGCCAATTAGCTTTAGCCAAAGGAAAAATAAACTTCTCATATCTTTATGACAGGAGGTAGTTTGGTAACTTGTAGCAATAGATGTACTAAAATTAGACTTTGACCCTCCCACAGAGACTGGAAGATAAGACACTGTCTTTATTGATGATTACTTTTTTTTTTCAACCATCAGGTGTATTAAGGAAAGGAGAGATGGGGCGCTTCCAGGAGTGCCTCCCATGGACAGCCACCTTGGTAGTTTGTTGGGGGTTAAGGAGGAGTTCATGGGGCTCCTCCGGCAAAGATGAGTTCCAGAGCTGCTTGGATGTCCCCCCCAGTGGCCTGTAGGGCCCGCAGGCTCAGTTCATCGTCCTGAATGCCCATGTCACGCAGCTGCTGCAGCTGGGGCTGCCACTGGCTCTGAAGGCTGGGCTGCCCAGAGGCCTGCAGGGCATGCTGCAGGGCTTGGCTGAAGAGGTCATTGGTGATGGGAGTCCCTGACTGGACACCAGAGGACAGTGGTGAGGTCCCCAAGGAATGGCTCTGGGTGCCAGGAGTCGGTGTATGAGAGCTGCTCTCTGCAGTGCTGGTCAGGGCCAGGGCAGTGGCCAGCTCGCTCTGGGTGATGGGCCGGGGTCCGGCAGCTCCACTGTACCCCAAGGACGCTGGGCGGGAGCTGGGTGTGCTGCTTTCCAAGAATGAGGCCCAGGAGAAACCATATGCGGATCCTTTGGCTGTAATCATATTCATTCTGTGAGGCCAATATCAGGAGAGGTTGTATCATTTTCATTAGATGGAAATCAACAATACCTAGCTGATACAGCCTCTTTGGGGGAAGATGGGGGTTGGAGGGGACTCTACTGAGACCCACACACGGCAAAAACTTCTCAAGGAACTCTTTGTAGCCATGGCAACGGGCTCCCAGCTCCCACTCTACACCACTCTCCAACATTCACATTCTCTCTTGCAGGCCTGGCAAGAGTCTTAGGCAGGGGGCTGTACTACAAACTCACCGCCTCCCTGTAGGAAGAGCTGCTGTGCAAGGCAGTGTGCAGCACCCGGAACTCCCGCAGGGCAGCCACTTTGTCCACAGGTTCTGGTTTCTGATCAGGCTCTGGCCAGGACTTGCGAAGAACATGGACTGTGGACCCAGGTTGAATGCCATAGAAGTCAAGGGTCTGGTCATCTTTTAGCTTCCGGCCACAGTAGATCAGATCAATCAGCTCAGGGTCTGGAACTGACTCCTGGAGTTTGCCAGCAATAAGCTGCTTCAGAAATGAAATACTATAACCCCCAAGTGAGTATTCTCCCAGCTCTGTCTCTGGCAACCGAAGAATAGACTTTGTGGCAAGTGGCTGGTCAGCCAGTTTCACCGCCAGGTGCCAATCTGAGAGAGACATCCTCTCTCTTTCACGCTCTCTCTTTCTCCCCGTCCCGCGGAAAGAACCTGGCCGCATGGCCGCCGGTGTAAACACTCCGATGATTACTTTTTTAAGAAATGGCTCCCAGATCCTTGAGAAAGACATTCCTGGGTCATAAAGATGGCAAGAAGCTTATTTAGCTTTTAAAAAGATTTACATACAGTTACAAATTTTCTAAAGTATATGTTCTAAGAAAAAGGAATTTTCAACAGGAAAGAATTAAGTCTCTTTTTTTATTGTATTTGACCTTCCTTAGATATAGCACAATGCCTGCTACATAGTAGATATTCAGTAATTGGCTATGTTTATTATTTATTTATATGAATCTTAACTATATTACATATAAAATAGGCATGTTTTCACTTTCTATCCAAATTAACATAAGTACGTTAAGTCTCCAAATGTTTCTTCAATCCTATTGAGAAGCAATTTTAAAAAAGAAATGATAGGCTCACAATATTACAATTCATTCATGCAATAAAATCACTCCAGATTAATACCAGAACAAAAACACTAAAGCAGAAATTTTCCTACAACAATTTTAAAGACCCAAACATTGAACTACAGAGGTTGAAGCATACCCAGTGACTCCATCAGAAGATTAAATAGCCAAAAAAATATATTTCTTTGCAATTTGCCACTCAACTAAGACTATTAGGTAGAACCTATCAGCATTCGATGACTCTGTGGGGGTATATTGGGTTTCTGTTCCCTTCCAGTGCTGGGACTAAAATCCTAGGGGTACACTCTCCTGATTTCTCTGCCATGGTGCCCAACCCATACCTTCCAGGGTCACAGACATTATCTAACCCAGGGGTCCTCAAACTATGGCCCGCGGGCCACATGCAAATACAAATACTGTATTTGTTCCTGTTTTGTTTTTTTACTTCAAAATAAGATATGTGCAGTGTGCATAGGAATTTGTTCATAGTTTTTTTTTAAACTATAGTCCGGCCCTTCAACGGTCTGAGGGACAGTGAACTGGCCCCCTGTTTAAAAAGTTTGAGGACCCCTGATCTAACCAAATGGTAGCTCTGCATGGATGGTGCCCAGAGCTTTACTCTGCTTCACTAGTATTTTTGTTTTCCCAAAGGTGGCTTGCTGCTCCAATCCCCAGTCCCTTATGTGCTATTTCTTTACCAGGGGATATAAGGAACTAAGTCACTGTGCTAGGTGGGGAAGAAAAGTCCACCAATAACCTTAAATCTCTATAAAGGCATGTATCTCTTCATGTTCTTAGAAATTCAATCGGCTTGCATTTTATCAAGCATTCCATTATTTTCACAGTGCAGCAGACTGATTAGTTACCAGTTGGTGTTTCCTTTCAGCACTGGTTTGATTACTCTAACCAGGAGACAGAACTCACCGGCAGAGGTTTGCAGAGTTTGACCTTGTAGGATATCAAAGCCCCACAGGTTCTCTGGTATTGGAGAGGTAAAAACCTCATATTCTCAAAGGGGCCTATGCCCAATTTGCAGGGTCAAAAGGAACTTCCTGCCCACAACCATCTGCCCTCCATAACCATCAGTGGCACTGAGGGAACCAGAAAACTTTGGAGAGTTACCACGTATCAGAGCACATTCAGCTCCACTGTCAACCAGAGCCGTCACCTTTAGTTGATTCCAGGGGGACCAGTTAAAGCGAGCGCACCATGAGGCCGCCAACTGCCTCCAAGGGCACACACCTGGGGGCAATCTTTGTTTGCATTCTATATTGGGGCTTGGAAAGCACCCATCCCTGATAGGCCTGGGCTTCAGGGATGGGAGGTGCAGGTGGGGCAGGTCTGAACTATTGTTCAGGCGTTAAGGCTTTCCCCAGGCCAACCAACACAGCACTGGGTGGTCAGTCTATATTTAGGTGGGGTCCTGTCAAACCACATTTGTTTTAGCACTGGGTGGTCAGTCTATATTTAGGTGGGGTCCTGGTAACAATGAAGTCAAACCACATTTGTTTCAGGGTTATGCTTACTGCACCTTACAGCCAATTGGCATAGCCTTTTGGCTTTTCCAGTTCCCTATCTGTGTTGGGTTTTTTCCCATAGTTTGTACCAACTCCACAGATTTGTCAGTTTCCCCCAAATCAGCAATGGATTGCCTATCTCACGATTGGGCTCAGCCTAGATATCAGCGTCCCACACAGATATCCCACACTGGGGGGAGGAGACGGACTGGGATATCTTGGCTTTTATTCTTGCTGTGAATGCAGCCCCAGCAGGGCTTTTAAAGACAGGGTGTAAGTGGCCTGTCTCATTATAAAGTCCCTAAAAATGTGTGGTACCTCCTCTATAGATTTCCAGGGTCCCACATTGGCAGGGAGCTCTCCCATCATTGGGCCAAGTCTCCCTGCAGGCCAGAATAATCCAATCAATAAGGAAATACTACCTTTAACAACATCACATCCCCCCTAATCAGGTGTTGCTGGAGGTCTGAGTGTGTGGTGATGTTGCTTATTTTCTCTGTCTCTTGCTGGAGAAATGCCATCACCCCTGTATCCCATAGCCACGTAACCATGCCTAGATACTTTCCCTGGCCTTTTATTGGGTCTTTGCAGTTATATCAATAAACTCAGCAGGAATATAGTCTTTATCATGACCATTTCCTGAACTAGGGGCTACCTGCTAACTGGGGTTGCTGTTACTGTGTTTTTATTTTCCTTTGTATCAGGGGTCAAAACACAGACATTTCACTAGATTCAGTGTCAATCACAACACCCTCCTGTTAGCTCTCCTTATTCTACCAGGGTTTCCACTTCTTAGCATCCCATCCAGCTCCTGTCACAAAAACTCAGACCTTAATCCCACAACAGCTTTTGTCCTCCTCGCTTTGCAAAATGGCACGTTAAGGTCTCCAAATTATTATCCTGAAACTAGCATTTCCTTCTCTAACCTCAGCTCTTCTTCCAACTTTCTAACTCAAACTGCAGCCTCAAATTAGGCCTCAGGTGGCCAGCCCAGCTGCCCACAGTAGAGACCAGCCACTGCAGCAGCCATTCTTTCCCCTCTTTTGCCGCAGTATGCTATGCACAGTGCCTCAAACAAGCGCATTAGGCATTTCGTGGGGTGGGGGTGGGGGGCGCCCCATGCTCACATGGTAGTCCATAAGCACCTAACGCACCAGCCACCCCTCCCCAATGACCAACCTGGGACTTCACCCAAAGATACCTCTTTCCCAAGACCCCTTATTTTGGTGTCCTAACTCCACCCAATGTTGGGTTGCACCCCTCAGGAATTCCCCGGGTGAAATCTGAGCCTGGCCCCCATACATAGTGACCAAGGAAAGACTGAAAGAGGCAGGCCCCTGCAAGTAGGTAGATGGCAGACTTTACAAATAAACAAACTTACATAGGAGGCTTCTCTCGGAGAGACGCAAACTGAGTAGCTCATAGCTCCACCCTCTGGAACCTTGTTTATATAGAGGCCTTAATTGGGCTCAGTCACGTATTCAGTCCAGGTGGTCTCAGTGACACCTTACTCTCTCAAGGCTGCATCCTTACAAATGGCTCCCACTGTGGGAATGGTGGGCAGACATACATTCTAAGGACGGGGTGAGGAGCCTCTAATGGCCTGGGTCCAGCTAGGGGACAACTGGCCATCATGTCCTCTAGATTGCCTCCTCCAACAATCCGTGCACCAGCCCTCTAGTATCTCCATAACAAGCTATGGACGGACTGGGGCAAATCTCTTTGAGATAAGTCTCCAACAATCTACATAAAAGTAAATTTTACACTGCAAAGGGGAAGAATTAAATGTAATAAAACTGAGTAACAAATTAGATGATACATATAACTTGAAAACTAGCACACCGGTTCTTTTGTTTAAATAGGCTTTATGGATTTGCTGAGCATCCCAGCACCCAATAAGGCATTGCTCCTTTGGGAAGGGGCGGGGAGGGAAAGCCACCTTGAACCTTGAACAACTAACTTAAAAATGAACTTTGGAAAAGACATCCAATTCTTTTCTGATCATTGAAGCTTCCCCGGGCCTGCAGCACCCAGTTCCCTGTTCATATGTTTATGCCATTTTAATAACCCATAGCTGTTAAAAAGGAACTTAATTATTGTATTGAGAGATAACTCTGACTAAACATATGGATAATAAAATATGATTTAAAATACGCCTCTCCTATGCTATTCCTTAAAGGAGTTTTTCAAAGTGCAGCTCCCAAACCAGCAGCAGCAACAGCAGCATCACCTGGAAAGTTGTTAGCAATGGAAATTCCAGGGCTCCACTCAAGATCTACTAAATTAAAAACTCTGGGGGAACTCAGCAGTCTGGGTTTTAACAAGCCTTCCAGGTGATTCTGATAAACACTCAAATTTGAGAACTGCTGGCCTAGAGGTCTCCTCCAAGAAGCAGCTACTAGAATTTATTAACGGGTCTGTAAAGCACAGATGGCCAAACAATATTGTTTTCTACTGTGTGCCTAGAGTACCTGTCATTTTAAGGAATTTGCAGTCCGCAGCCTCCTTTTAATTACTTTTGTCATGCCTCTAGCAAATTGTCAGACATCCAGCATGCAGTTTGCGGAGCTTCCAAAAGTGCTCGGCAATTGTCTTGCAAATGCTAACAACCTGACAATCAGGATGCCCTGCTCTCCCTGTCCGGATATTAAAATACAAATTCCCAGGCCCTGCTGCCACTGATTCTGACCTAACAGAACTGAGAAAAGGCCTTGAGATCAGTATTTGTAAACCCCCACAGCATGTGCACACACACAGGCATACACACACACAAACCTACACATGCCCACACACCTCTCCACCTAATATGTAGGCAGGGTTTAATAGCACTGCTCTTTAAAACCACTACTCTATATATGCCCGACCAGCATGGCTCCGTGGTTGAGTGTGCTGACCTATGAACCAAGAGGTCACGGTTCAGTTCCCAGTCAGGGCACATGCTCGGGTTGCAGGTTCGATCCCCAGTGTGGGACATGCAGGAAGCAGCCAATCAATAATTCTCTCTCATCATTGATGTTTCTATCTCTCTCCCTTCCTCTCTGAAATCAGTAAAAATATATTTTAAAACCACTGCTATATATAGATCAAAGGA